CGATTTTTAATTGAGTACTTAAATTATTCATCACTATTTGATTCAATTATCATCAATATATTTACCATATTGATAAATGAGAGATTTTTCAAAGAGCAATTGGTTTGATAGTGTTACGTTGGAATTGTAGTCACCGGAATATGTGTTTGGTAGTGTATGTCTTATATTTAAGAAAAAAATCCGATAAATAACCGAAAAACCGACAAAAAATCGAATCGATAAAAAACCTACTTAATTGATTTGGTTTGGGTTCAATATTTGAAAAATTGACTTACTTGGTGTGGTTTCTTTTTAGAGAAAAAACGATTCAAATCGAACCATGAACACCCCTATTGTATCAAATATGAATTCTTAACGCCTTAACCTAAAGACTTAGGGCTCGGTTGGCCATAAGAATTTTTTTTATTTTTTATTGGAATTTTTAAACTTTTTTCAGAATTATTGTTTGATCATGAAAATTTCAAATTTCACTTGAATTTGAATTTCGAAAATTTGAAAAACTTCAAAAAAGTTATTTTTCAAAATTTTTACTTTAAGGACCCGTTTGGCCATAGATTTTGTCAAAATAAACTTGGGTTTTATTTGGCGAACACATGTTTGGCCATAGATTTTGCCTACATTTTGGCCAAATCCCAAATCCCAAAACCAACTCAATAGCTGGTTTTGGGCTAAAATATCCCTATTATATTTTTTTAAAATTGCCCCAAACTTTTGTATTTTATAAAAGAGCTCACCGTTTATTATTTTGTAACGATGTTGTTTCGTCTTCTCGGTCATCTGATACTGTATCATATAGTTTATTGTAAAAATAATAATTTTGTATCAAATTTATTTATGTTCAGGACTATGATTTGCGATAATTTAATGAATGTTATTGATAATGGCATTGTTGGGTATTTGTGATAGTTTTTACAACTTGTGGATATAAGTCACGTTTCATGTTTTTCCAAACCAAACTTCACCCAAAACAAATTTCCAAACACATTTTCATCTTCAAACCAAATTTCACCCAAATCAGATTTTTCAGAATAAATTTGGGAATCTATGGCCAAACGCTAGCTAAATCACTCACAAAAATTCAAAACAACTCCAAATAATACTCTATATGTTCCAATTTATGCGAACTTGTTTGACTCGACACGAAATTTAAGAAAAATGAAGACTTTTGAAATTTGTGGTCCTAAACAAGTCATAAAAGCGCCAAGAATATTTGTGTGGTTATAAAAACTTCTCATTAAGGGTAGAATTGTAAGTTTAAACTAAATTGTTTCCAAATTTAATAAGGGATCATTCTTTTTGAAATGAACCAAAAGTAAATAGGTTCATATGAACTGAAACGAAATTATGTCCAAATACAACTGTAATTATTAAATATTATTTTTATTTGATTTTTTTTTTTGAAATTTTACAATTCTTATATCCAAACGCCAACTTACTATTTTTGTAGTCACCAATCACTATAATTTTAAACAACCATTTGTGCTCGTATATTGGTTCGTAGAAATTTGAAATATTTTAAGTTATTATAAATATGGAAAATAGTGTTTTATTTTCTGTTCCGTGGCGTAAAGGTTCCAATTTTGACCATCTCTAAAAATAGAAACTTCAATCGGTGAAAGAAAGAAACCAAAAAAACCAATTTTTTCTCACGTGTCAACATTTAACGCGGGTTTTCCATAAACCGTGTCACCCATGCCCAGCCAAACACGGCTGGCCCCCACTGTCGTTATTACAAAGAAAATTTTCTAACACAAGTCTTTATCATTTCTCTTTCTTTCTTTGTTTTATTTAACAGAGTAGTCCTCTAGCAAAAACACCAGCAATGGAACTTTTCCACAAAGCAAAAGCCGTTCGTTTACAGAGTCACCACGACAAGTACTTAACAGCCGAAGAAGATGAAGAATCCGTAACCCAAGATCGTAACGGCTCTTCAAAAAACGCAAAATGGACAGTAGAATTCGTCGAAAAAACCGACAACGTTATACGCTTAAAAAGTTGTTACGGAAAATATCTTACAGCATCAAATCAGCCTTTTCTTTTAGGTATGACTGGTCGGAAAGTTTTACAAACTGTTCCAAATAGGCTTGATTCTTCAATTGAATGGGAACCCATTAGAGAAGGGCATCAAGTGAAGCTAAGGACAAGGTACGGACAGTTTTTGAGAGGTAATGGTGGATTGCCACCGTGGAGAAATTCAGTGACACATGATATTCCACATCGGACTTCTACTCAAGATTGGATTCTTTGGGATGTTCATGTTGTTGAGATTTTGGTTCATCATTCTCCTGTTCCTAACCCGTTGCCGCCGTTGGTCAATCATTCTGATTCGTTTGCTTCTGAATCTAGTTCTCCTTCTACTGCTTCCTCAAAATCTCTCAGCTTTTCTAGACAAGAGGTAATTTCCTGCTTTTGACCTTGAAATTCACTGATTATTATTATATTTTGGGGGAAAAGATTCAAATTAAATATCTTGATTTTAGCCTGCATTTGGACATATGGACATAGATTTGGTTAAAACTTGAAAAGTGAGTTGTTTGAAGTTGTATTTGAACATACATTTTATTTTAAAAAAGGTTAAAGTTTTGCGAGTGGCCTGGAAAATTTTCGCCCAAAAATTATCCCTTTTTTTTTTTTCGAAAACTCGTATCTCATGAACAAACATTGTTTTTCATTTTTTTTTCAAAACAAACCGCCAAAATCTATGGCCAAACGGGTCTTTGGTCTCCGTTATACCTTTGAGCTATTTATATTTTTGTTGTAGCAATCGTCTAGTAATTGACATTTACTTTTAAAGGAGCTCCTGTACGGACTGAGTTAATTTTACATCTCAAAATACTTTGAGAAAAAAAAATCCACATTGATCCTCTACTCTTGTTTGTAGTTTAAAATTACCTTATGTTATACTGTTGGAGACTTGGAGCTTTGTTAGGGTCAAAGGCAAATATTTGCTAACCGAGTATGAATAATTCCGGAGTAGTAATGGAGAGTAAAATTAAGATATTTTCGTACATTTAAGGAGTATTGTTGACCCTTTTTTAGATTTTACACGGTAATGTTCTAGTCAGCTTATTTTACTTTTATTTTTTTGGGCTTCCTTTACTTTCATACTGCCTGTTACATTCTCACAAGTATAGGTGTCGGGTAACTTGCTAACTGGGTATGTGAATTCAATAATTATTATGTTATGGTACTCAATTATCTTTCTCATTTTCTTTGGCAGTCAAGTGATTCTTTGGTTTGTTCGCCGCCTAAGATGGGAGATGGAAGGCTTATATATTATCATATCGCAGATGAATTTGGTGAAATTGAAGAGGGAATGGAGGGACTTAGCATAGCTTTCAAGGGAAATAGTGTTGAGGAGCTAACCAAGAGATTGGAGGAGGAAACGGGGGTTGAGGGAATTACTGTGTGTACTCGAAGTCCTTTAAATGGGAAGCTTTATCCTCTTCGTTTGCAGCTTCCTCCCAACAATGCAACCATGAATGTTATTATTATGCCATCTTCATCTAAAGGTGAGGCTTCTACCTGTCTTATAATTGGTTTCATTTTGTTGAAGTTTGAACTTCTTATGTTCATGATTCTGTTTGAGCACTTTTGTTCTATACGAGCTATAATGTTTATAGAAATTAAAATAACTTGAGGTTCTTTTACACGGAGTCGGTATCCAAATAAAGAACATTATTGTAAATATGCCTTATTACTTACTGATGCTATTGATCTCCTTCAGCTTCTGTGGGGGATTAGCCAAATAACTAATGTTTCATTGAAGTGTCATTTATGCCTCTGTTCTTGAATAAAGCATCAGCATTTCAGCCTTGATTTCCTTCTAACCAATGTCACATAGACAATTAAGGAATTTACTACAAAACTTGTGATAAGCTCCCTCTGTTATATCAGTGTTGGGCATGGCATCAAAGTTGTTTGAGAGTATTGCTTGTGTTATGCGTCCAACTGATATCGTTAATTTAACACTGTATATAAGTGATATTCTCTTGTTATTACCTCACTAAGGAGTCTTTTTGCTTGTACAGTTATATTTCAGTTCATATACCTTCTTCCTGTTACATCAATCCTAATTTTACTGGTGCCTGAAGAACTTCTGTGTTTGCTTTCTTACTTCATTCTTTTTTAGAGCCAGTACAGATACTGTCGAGTTTGTGTTTGTCCCCATCAGTCTATCTTGTATCTATATAGTGAGCTGATTACATTCCTGTTGATGTTCTTGCTAACATTCTAACTTTGCGTTGGTGTATCAGAGGCAAGAGAATTTGCAAAACCAAGAATGCCATTGTAGGCCAACATGGAGTGTGCTACACGGATTGATGCAGTAGATGAACATAGCTGGATTTTTGTATCAATGAGTATGATTCTAGTCTTATGTCTTTTCCCTTGTTTGTAAATAAGGTTTTGAGTGCTGAAAGAGATGAGTTACTAGACTAGCTTCTTTGGATCGTTGGATGTTAATCGCATACTATTGCACGAAATAATGAAAATTGAAGATAGAAGTGCTTAGTTTTTTTGTTCCATTTACTGGAGGAGATTTCTTGAACTGATTTTTGTGGCAAGAAGTTTCTTTTGTTGTTGTGGTCGTTGGCAACTACAGTTTGTTGTAAAATATTAATTTGAGCATTATTGAGAGCGAGGTGCACCACTTTCTCTATTTTTCTACTGAAAGAGGCATGGAAGTCGTACTCTATTTGTTTTAATTCTAATGGAGAAAAAAAAAAAGGATTGTAAAAAAATCTTACCTAAAATTGATTTGTGCATACTCTAGGCTCAACTACCACACAGCTCATAAAAGCAATAGTGCACAACTAGCTGAGTATCTTTTATTTGATAAAAAGTTGTACTACAAACATAAACTAGGTACAAACGTTCTAGATAGATTACAAAGGTAAATTAAGATGGATAAATGTTATATGTTTTTAATACTTGTGGGCTAATTAAAGAAATAAAAAACATATTCTATTGCACCCTAATTAAACATAAAAAAAAAAATATAAAACCACTCTGGGGGTAGAGTGAATACATTTTTATATTTAATTACAATTTGATGTCTTTTATTCTAGATGTGATGAATAAAACTGAGGCACTTAACATATTGTTTAGCTGGACAAACATGTTAAACTAAGTAATTATTTGTAATTACAACTCAAATCCAATTTCATATATGTGACTTTTCAAACACATCCTTAATGTTAGACTCAGGTAAATTTTCTTTATGTCTTTGGAAAGGTCAAATCCTGAGAAAGCTAGTAAAAAGTAAAAACTGAACTTCATTCAAATGAAATTTACTCTCAAAATTGAATGTCTAAAATTGATAGTTATAATTAAAAAAAAAAATCACTATTAATCTTTTTTTTTAAAACTGAAAAGATTACTATTTGGATGGATGGCCAAAAAGCTATATTCCAAATTCCAAATTCATGAATCACGCGGCTGTCCCTAGACATATATATATATATATATCACCTCTCAACATTGAGACACTCTATATGGCTTTATTTATAAGAAAGAATGCAACAGATATATGATGTCAGTTTCATGATCCAGTTCTACAAGACTACAACATACTTAATTCCCACAATTACAAATGGCTGCAAAAGAAAGCATGATCAGAATTATGACATAACAAAAGGAAGCCAAAGCAGCACTAATCATGGCTCGTTTCACATTGATCTTTAGCTATATGTAATCCTTCGTACATTTTTTCTCCCTTCTTATGTACCATATAATGTACAAATGTTGAAAATACCAAAAAATTGAACCTAAAGCACCGCGTTAGGTGTGGTGGAATGGATATCATTCGTTCATCTTATTAGTCAGTGATCTTGAATTCGAACTTTAGAAATGAAGAGAAACATGTAAGGGGGGAACGCATTCCTCTTCATAATGCAAATTTATATTAATCAGACTAATAATTAATTCTGAACAATCAGTAACAATCAGTATATATATATATATATATATATATATATATCAACATTCTGACTTGATTAAAATTAGTATTAGTATTACGTAGGACATTCTTTTTCCTCCTTTATTTTTTCTAAAGACTTTGCCCTTCGACAACGTGATTCAGACAAGAATATATAGCCACTTCAAAATTTCGTCTTTCAATGAATTCAAAGGTCTGTCTTCACTCTCTATTTTAGTCTTTTTCCATGGCTTCTGCTTTTCACATTCCATCATTTCCCACCCCTTTGAGGAGCTCAAGCATTACCCATGACCTTCATACCAATAGCAAATTAAACTACATAAATTTATTAATACTTTTATGTTTACTTTCTTTTTTTTTTGGGTAATTCATGTTTAAATTTTATACATACAATAAGGTGTAAAAATATTTTGAAATCAGATCACTTAAAATATGTTGGTATCTGAAAAAGAGGTCAGTAACTTGTTCAAGCCAGTCAAATTACAAGAATTAAAGAAAAATTGTAGAGTAGTTGCTTGTACTATTTTCTACGTTTTACTTTCAAATAGATTTTTTTTCACTTCCATCGACGAAGAAGGAGATTGATTATCGGCAATAGGGTGACAATCGACCAAGAAATGATCGATAATAGACCAAGAAGAAAGTTAACTAATCAACTTCCGGCTGATTTAATAGTAACTAATCGAAATAGAGAAAGAAAAAGAACTCAAAATATCGACACTTTTTCCTTTTTCTTATTCTTTAATCTAATCACAATAGAAAATATCGACCTATAATTGAAGACTTAGAATAGGTCTTTTAATTTAAGAACATGACTTATGGTTTACGATTCCTATCTCATTAATCTATACATGTATACATACCCGTGGAAATAAATTATAGAGATCAGAGTCTACTATATTGACATCAACCACGCGTGATATATTTACAATACTATAATGGTCCGAATCTTGTCCCTCTTACTTATAACAGTTCCACTAAGCTTTTAAAAAAATAGTTTTGGTTAGAATTAATTTGTGTTTAACTAATTACTTTGAAAAATATTTTTGAACAACAATTAATGTTTGATCAAACTTTTAAAAAGTGCTTCTAAGTGTATTTTTTTCAAAAGTATTTTTCAAAAAAATATTTTTGAAAAGAAGCTACAGTTTTTTATTTCTCAAAATAAATTGCTCTGCTTTTACTCAAAAGTATTTTTTTCCTTCTAAAAATTTGGTCAAACGCCTTTGGAAAAACACATTTTTAACGAAAAAACAAAAATAGTTTTGGCCAAAAGAAAACTTGGCTTTATTAATCACTTTGTCAAGAAAACAAAAACCACATTGACATCACAAGGATTATTTTGTTCTTCTATATATATTTGCTTAAATCCTTCAACTTTATTTCCATAATTATTATTAACAAAGTTTACTAATGGAACTATTCTACGATGCCAAGGCTGTTAGATTCAGAAGTCATTTAAACAAATACTTAGTAGCAGATGATGATCAGAAAAACATCCGACAAAGCCGAAATGGCTCATCAAGAAAAGCACGGTGGCTGGTGGAGCTTGTTGCCGGAAACAGCCATCTTATCCGACTGAAAAGTAGCTCCGGCATGTACCTCACGGCTTCCGACGAGCCGTTTCTTCTTAGCATGACAGGTTCTGAAACGTTTACACTTTAAATTACTTAATTATATTATATTTTTATTTTTTGCTAATGTCTACACCTTGTTTCTTTTTCATATCCCATCATTTTCGACTATTATTTTGAGAAACTATATAATATTAGTTTCCAATAATATTTTACTTCTGGGAGTAAAATTTGAATACACATGACCTCTGGCCTATTATGTTACCATGTTAAAATGGGGCTACCATGTCATCTAAAAATATAAACGACTAAAAACGATATACTTAGCTTGTAATTGCTTAATTACGTTATATATTCCGTTATACCTCATCTCTTTACGTGTAAGCCTGATTTTTTTACATGACCCATACATACGACGGAATTTGAATTAGTACCTCTTGCTTGCTCTAATATCATATTGAAATATGTGACTAATTAATTTAAGAGTTTAAACTTTTAGAAATATTGCACTGGTGGAGTCTCATTTATCCAATAGGGTTCATTTGAATGCCTTTCCTGTAGGTTTGCTTCTTTTGCATAAGTCATACATAGAATGTACCAACCGAATCGGAAAAACCGTACCAAATCGAAAAGTCAAACTAAATCGATTAAAAAATTCAAATAAGTTTGGTTTGGTATTGAGTAAAATAATTCGAACCAAACCGAAATATAAATATATAATTTTTATATATACTTTTAAGACTTTATGTAATATTTAATAGAATTAGTCTTAGGATACACACGCTGCGCGTGTATCTTGTCTCAATGAGTATAAAATTCTAAGAGAATTACATATATTTTATATTGAAATTTATATGTGAGCAATAAATTAGAAGCTAGTACAAGTTTTTAAAAATGACGATCTTTGATTCTATTTAATTAGCTAATTACTCAATAAAGGAAGTTTTCAATCATTAAAAATCAATATATTCAACTTAATAGTAATTCTAGTTCCATAATTTTATTACTTCAATTTCACAAGTAATGATACTTCTCTTTTAGTTTTAATAAGAATATATAACCCTTGAAGATTTAAGAGTTTATCTAAAAAAAAATAATTTTGAAAAATTATATATTCTTAAATTCATTCTAAAAGACACAAGCATGATAAAGTAAAATATAAACATGGTCACTTAACTCACATAAGAGTTCTTTTTGTTCATCGCAAGCAAAATGCAAATTATTTTATTTGTTTAATCTATAAGAATACTGTACGACTTGTTTCCGACCAAAACATTAGAATAATATTACATCCTTTATTTTGTTTTTAGCTATATGGTAAATAAAATAGAAAAGGATATGGGGTTAAGGTGGAAAACTTTTCTTTGTCATGTAATTCAGAAATTGGAATAGACATACACTGTTTTTATGCACAACCAAAAAAGAAAGAAAAATCAAAGAACTTTTGACCTTTTTTAAGAAATTAAATATATCAAGAAAAAATATTCCATGTTCAACGTTAGTTTAAAAAAAGAATCGATGACCAAATATGTAATATGAAATATTGGACATGATATTATGAAATTAAAGAGATAAAATAACTTTGTGCAAATTTCTTTTTTTCTTTCTAACTTTTTCTTGTTTACTTTGAATAACTAAAATAGTTTGTGCGACACAAATGCTTATTCTTGGCGCAATTGTAGAACTTCTACCACTTTGTTCCTCGTTAACAAAATAAGTAGAAATAAGATTTAAAATATTAACAATTTAAATAAGGACATAATTTGTATAAAAACTTGTTATTAATTTTAAAGTACTAAATATTAGGACTTTTTACCTTGTTCAATAAAGAAGTATTTAATAACTACTACAATTTTAGTTAATTCCAAAATCCTTAATACTAGGAAAGTAAATTAATTTATAATTTTGTCAAATGTTAATCCTATTTTTAAAGGGTAAAAAAGGTGAACAACATTTCGCTAAGGGGTTTCGTGCTTTTAATATAATATAGATAGATATAAAGTGCTCCATTTTTATTTACTTTAAATAATGGATTGTATGATCACTTTCTTATCAAGTGTTATTGAAATGTGTCAATCACTTTGTTCTTCCATATTCATATGTTAAGATCTATTAAATTCGTATATCTTTTTCTAATTTGAAGTGGTATTTCGATAATTTAAAATTAAATAGAACATAATTGAGTTATCATATTAATTTTTATGTTTAATTATTAAATTCGGTTAACCTTGAAAGTGTACATCAAAGAAAAATTATTGTGAGAAGACAAAAAATAACTATTATGTGTTAATAAGAAAATTCTCCCATAAAAATATTTTAACAGATCATATATTTATTATTATTTTTTTAAATTTTACTAAACATATATTTATTTATAAAATTTTTAACAAAATAAGATTGAAATAATATTCATGTAACAAGTAAACCGAACCAATCCAAATCGATACAATTGGTTTGGTTCGGTTTGGATAGAAATCGAATCAACCCGGTCCATGTATACCCCTAGTCATACACATGAAACATTTATTTTTTTTCTTGGTGATAATATTTGAACAAACGTTTTGCTTGCTCTGATACCTTGTTGAGATATGCGATCAGATCATATAAAATATTATATACTTTTAATTATTATATTATATTATATTATGTTTGATTAATAGGAGGAAAAAAGGTTCTTCAAACTTTGCCGGAGAATATGGAAGACGCAAAAATTGAGTGGGAACCACTAAGATACGGATTTCAAGTGAAATTAAGAGGTTACGGAGCAAAATTTTTAAGTGCAAGTGGAACGCCACTACGATGGACCAATAGAGTGACTCATGATTGTCCTTATAGTGCTACTACACATAATTGGATTTTGTGGAGCGTGGAACCTGTTAATGTGCCGGAAGATGAATCTTTAACGGATTATTTAACTATGGTTTCGAATTTCTCGTCAGTCTCCGGTGAACTTTCTACCTTGGATTTGGCGTCTCCGATGTCCATGCATTCAAGTCTTTGTTTTTCACCTAAGGTATGCTTCTTAATTACGTCGAACTTAAATTTTTTTTTTATTTGTCTTTTTTTGATAAAATTTCTGGCTCCGCCACGTAACATAATACTTAACGAGTTTAACAACCAACATGTGTCTTTGTTTGTTTGACAGAGTCCTCTAACTAGAAGACCAGCAATGGAGCTATTCAACAAAGCGAAAGCTGTTCGTCTACAGAGTCACCATTACAAGTACTTAACAGCGTTGGAAGATAAAGAATCAGTAACCCAAGATCGTGACGGTGCTTCAAGAAATGCAAAATGGACTATAGAATTCGTCGAAAATACCAACAATATTATACGCTTAAAAAGTTGTTATGGAAAGTATCTTACAGCATCAAATCAGTCTTCTGTTCTTGGTATAACTGGTCGAAAAGTTGTGCAAACTCTACCAAATCGTCTCGATTCTTCAGTTGAATGGGAACCCATTAGAGAAGGGAATCAAGTGAAGCTAAGGACTCGATATGGACAGTTTTTGAGGGGAAATGGTGGACTTGTTCCATGGAAAAACACTGTTACACATGATATTCCTTATCGGGCATTTACTCAAGATTGGATTCTTTGGGATGTTCAGGTTGTTGAAAACTTGCTATCACCATTGGCTCCTCGTTTAGATTCATGTGCTTCTGAATCCTCTAAATCCACGAGCTTTTCTACACAAGAGGTACTAAATTTCCAACATTTCAAGGATTGTTATTATTGTTCTTTCATGCGACAATTCATAAATAGTAGAAGTTTTGAGTGAAGCTATATATACTTGGCCTTGGGATGTCAATTCTAGAGGTGGCAAAATCAGCCCATTTTTAGTCATATATCTAAGCCTAAGCCGTTCAAGTTTAAACGTATCAAGTTTTGATCCATTTGTTGACTTGACCAACGAGTTATGATCCATCAAACTATTGAATCAATTTTGAAATTGGATAAAAATTCCCAAACTTACAATCTCCATTTTGAAAATTGGAGATTATATAAATTTGGATGAACTTAAGCTATAAGAATGATACATTAGCTTTCGCATTTTTTCCTCAAAGAGCAAAACAAAAAGAGAAGGGGAGATTGATTCATGACTACACTTACTTTGACCCAACAAAATTTGGGTTGATTGGATATTTATTAATTTGATCCATTTTCACTTGTCCAAGTTTGACTTATCCCATGACTTGCTACCAATTTATTGTCTCTTTTTTTCTTCAGTCAAGTGATTCTTCGCTGCCTAATTTGGGTGAAGGGAGGTTCATATTTTATCATATGGCGGATGAATTTGGAGAAATTGAAGAGGAAATGGAGGCACTTTTCATAACTTTCGATGGAAATACTGTTGAGGAGTTGACTAAGAGATTGGAGGATGAAACTGGGCTTGAGGAAATTATTGTGTGTACTAGGAGTCCATTGAATGGGAAACTTTATCCTCTCAGTTTGCAGCTTCCACCAAACAATGCAACAATGAATGTTATTATTATGCCATCTTCATATAATAAAGGTGAGATATTTCAACTTGTCTTGAGTTGGTTTCATTTTGTGAAACTTTGAATTTTTAGATTCATGACTTGTTCGAGGAATTTTGGTCCAAAATGAGCTACAATGTTTATATCACTTTTAAATGAATTAATATCCTAAAATCCCCCTAAACTATTACGTTTTTGTCAATTTCCTGCTTAGTTTATTCGGTGTCCCCAAAATCCCCCTGAACTCGTGGTTAGGACAATATTTATTGACAAAAACATGATAGTTTAAGGTGGTTTTAGGATATTAACTCCTTTTAAAATACTGGTAACAAATCATATTCTAGACTAAAAGGGCAGTCCCAGTCCACGAAGCATCCCGCATTTTCGCAGGGTCCGGGAAAGGGCCGCATCCTAAAAGGGTATGATGTAGGCAGCCTACGTACCCTGATGCAAGCACCATTGACTATTTCATGGCTCGAACCCATGACCTATAAATCACACGGAGATAATGTTTACCCGAAAAATCGGATAATATTAAATTTATGTATGGTTCTAAGGATACGTAATACCCTTTGATATAAAGATAACAATAAAAGTATTTTGATTATGAGAATGAGAATGATGAACAGAAAGAATGAATAAGATGAAGTAAAACAAGCACAAGGAGATATCTTTGTATATGAGAAAAGATCTTTTTGTTCCAATCTATTCCGTGTATTCGGTCCCTCCATAGCTTACAAGGATTCCCCCTTTTATAGTAGAGGGTCATTACAAAAAATAATAAAATAAAACATATAGTGGAGGACCCATGATGATTTGTCTCTTCCTCGATTCCCGCCAAGATTCTCTCTCTTGGTGCGGTTGCAACGACTCTTGTCTGTGAGCTCGATACTGGCTCGAACTCGTTACTGGGTCGAGCCCTTCGGTCTTGGCTCGAGTTCGACCTTCGGGATGGGCGTCGCACATTTCCGACCTCGAAGCAATGCCTTGCGGATCGATTCGGTCACGAGCTCGATAAGGTTATCGAGCCGACTCCTCGAGCAGCCTTCGGGCTCGAAGCTCGTTAGTACTGACTTCGGAGCTCACTCTCAAAATCCCACTCCGACTTCTTACCACTTGAACTCGATCGAACGTGGGAAGGCCGAAATCTATTTCGACCGTATACAAATAACTTTACCGTTGTTCCAAAGCTCCTTCTTCTAGACCAAATGATAATATTGTGAATTTGTTAATTTTTACATGGTTGTCACAATATTTATTGACTTGTAACATTGTTTTTGTTTCTCAAGCTATTACTCCAGATTCTCTTTCAAGCCATATGTCCAACATTCCCGAGTTGAATAGTTCCAATTTCAATGAATGGAAGGAACAACTAGAAATTACATTGGGATGTTTGGATTTGGATTTGTGTTTCAGAATTGATGAGCCTTTGGAAGAATGTGCCGTCTATGCTACTTGGGAACGCTCCAATCGCTTAAGTCTCATGATTATGAAGAGTAAGATTGATAAGAACATCTGCAAATCAATACCAAATTCTACTCGAGCAAGAGAGTTCTTGGCATCCATTGAACAACAATTCAAGGTTTCCGATAAGACATCGGTAGGTACACTCATGGAAATTTTAACTACTAAGACATATGACGGGACTAGAGGTGTGCGTGAGCACATTATAGAAATGGCTAATATGGCGGAACAACTTAAAGCAATGGAAATAACCATTTCGGAATCCTTTTTGGTGCAATTTGTTCTCAATTCGCTTCCTTCTCAATTTGGTCCTTTTAAAATTAGCTATAAAACAAATATGAACAAATGGACCGTGGATGAACTCATTGCAATGTGTGTTCAAGAAACGATTAAAGGGAGAAGGATTACTATTGGTTCAACAAGTAAAAGGACCAAAGAATGGAAAACGAAATGAAAACAAGGGTACTACACATGATGGTGTGAATAAAGGGAACATGAAATGTTTCTTTTGCAAAAAGAAGGGACACTTGAAAAAGGATTGTCTTAAATTCAAGAATTAGTCTGAAAAGTAAGGTACGTAATTAAATTACCTACGTATGTTATGAAACCAATTTTTATTAATGATTTTTCTGATATGTAGAAGTTATTTCTGATGTCATGAACTAACTTCAAATTCTTTACAGCGTTTCCTTACAACACGAATTTCGAATGAGAGGGGAGAAGTATATTTTTCATGGAGAATAAAGCCCAAGCTTCAGTTAAAGCTATAGAGATCTATAAACTTATTTTAAGTAGTAGAGAGTTATTAGAGTTGAATAATACCTCTAATTAGGATTTTTTTTTGTTGCTTTGCTTTGGTAATCAAGGATATTATGTTAAGTTTGGAAATAAAACTTTGAGGCATATAAAATAATCTGTTGATTGGGAATGGTATTTTCTGTGACCATTTGTACAGAATTAGTATTGACTCTTTCCTTCATTTCTCTCAATATTTTTGGCCTTACATGTGTTAACAAATAATGACATCCGAAGAAGTCGCCAAATTGAAACTTCATCTACGTTGTGACAAAAAAGGTTAATACACATGTCTAAATAAATGCTAGAAAGTTGCCGAAGATGAAATCCAATAAAATCTTAATTTTTTAAATGTTGGTACTTATAATGATTGCATAAGAAAAAATCAATCCAAAAGTACCAGAGAGGTGCCACAAAAAGTTGTAGTAAAAAATATTTTATCACCTTATTGATGACTTCTCACAGTATCTTTGTCTTGTTAAGGAAAACTCTTATGCTTTAGAAGTCTTTTAGATTTTTAAGATTGAAGTTGAAAATCAGTTAAATAAGAAAACAAAAAGGGAAAAAAGCATAAGTACTTCCTAGGTTTAAGTCAATTTTCAGATACACACTCAATCTTTGCAGGACTCTTATTACCTCTCGATAATTTTTCGTGGGAATGTGAAAGAGAGGCCTGAAAGTAATGTGTGAGGGAGAAGATGAGCAACTCAACTTCGGCAATGGGACTGGAGGAAACATACTCGGAAAAAAAAAGATAAGTTTAAGTTATAATGATAATTAATAAGTCTATTTAATTGTATAATTTCCAATAAATGAAACTTGTCCAAATTATCATTCCAGGGTGTATTTATTCCACTTCAGAAAAGTCGAAGGGGGTAATATATAGGACCCCCTAAAGGTCGGGTGTGTAAGGGAAAATCCGACCCAAAACTGAGAGGGTAGTTTTGCCTTCTCTCTATAAACTAAACATCAATCAACAACTAGGTAAAAATAATTAACCAGTTGTCACATATTGAGTGGTCACATATTGAATTATATTAATAAAAAATCTCTACATTACCAATCAAAATAACTTAAATACATAATTTAAATCATTTTTCTTGTATCACTATGTGGCAATATCCAATTCTAGAATGGATAGTTGAACAACCACAGCTCACAAAAGCAATAATGCACAAGTTGCTATCTTTTAGTATAATAAAGATAAAAAGTCTTACAAACATAAACCATGTATAAAAATCTTAATCTTACAAAGTGTAATGCTGCAGGTCAAGAGAGAAGAGCATGAATTGACAATTGGATTGATAAATGTAATAAGTAGTATTGTACATTGTTTTCACCAGTAATCTTTGCAGGTACAGAACCCATTCCTAAAGTGATGGAACCTAACACGATCTCTAACAATAATTTCAACGTCAAAAACTTTGGAAATTAATTTAGTTACATTGTGGCAGTCACTGCAGATGCGCAAATTCTTGAAAATGCGTATAGGAGTTCCTGGTTTCAGTTTCAAAAGTCCATAAGCAATGGCAAGTCTCTCACTATGCAGTTTAAGTGACTGTCTCTTCCCATTATCAAGTTCATTAACCATTGATGCTTGTGACAAGTCAGGAACATACCCTGCTAATTTGAGTCTTTCTTCTATTACATCCAAAAACTTGTAAATTTCTCTAGTATGCAAATGAGAAGTATCTCCAGCGAAAAATTCATGGAAAACGCCATTAATTTCAATTGAACTACAGCCTGGATCTTTTTTAATACCTTTATCGGTCATCAATTTCCTAATAAGTCCAGCCTCGTCCCATTGGTTAGCAGTTGCATATACTCTTGACAAAAGAACATAAACACCACTAGTGTCACTGCCTTCGGACTCAATCACTTTCCTTGCCACTTCTTCACTAAGTTCTATGTCAGCGTTTTTCTTGCAACAACCATCAAGAAGACTCCTCCATATTGGTGCATCAGGTTTCATTGGCATGTTTGATACGACATCAAGAGCTTCATCAATACGCCCCGCACGAGCCACAAGGTCAACCAGGCAACCATAATGTTCCAAAACAGGCCTAATCTTATACTCAGAAACCATTTTATCAAAATAGCTACGGCCCTCGTCAACCAAACCTCTATGATTACAAGCACTCAAAATACCAACAAATGTGATTGAATCCGGCATTACTCTCTTGATAACCATTTGGTTAAAACAACGAAACGCTGCCTCAACCTCCCCATGCATTGCAAATCCTAATATCATAGCATTCCAAGAATTCAAATCACGCTTGATCATCCTCTTGAAAACCTGAACAGCTATATCCAACGAACCACATTTGCAATACATGTTCAATAAACAATTGTTAACAAGCAAATCAAAATCTAAGAAGCTCTCATACTTCTTTAAAACATAAGCATGAATCCACATTCCCAAAGATAACGCCCCGAAACCAGCACAAGCATCAAGAACACTCTGCACTGTATACCCATCAGGCTCAAATATCTTTTGCATCTCAGAAAACATTCTCAAAGCACCTTCAAACTCACCCGATTGAACAAGAGCATCAATCATAACATTCCAAGACACCAAACTTCTCTCAGGCATTTTATCAAACACTCTCCTTGCATCCTTCAAACACCCACAAGACGAATAAAAATGAATCAAACTATTGTTTATATATACATCTGAATCAAACCCAAGTTTCAAAGCAAACCCATGTGCTTGTTTCCCTTGAGAAAGTGCAAACAGATAAGCACAAGCCTTGAGCACAAATGGGAAAGTATGCTTATCTGGCTCAACATTTGTCACCATTTTATAGAAAAGCAAAAAGGCTTCATCTTTACGACTATTGCTATGAGCACAAGCTCTAATAAGAGTATTCCAGATGAAGGAATTGGTGTTTTCTAAATTACAGAAGAGTTGAAAAGAATAGTTAAGGTCATGTAAGGAGGCAAAATGGAGAATTCTGCTGTAGAGGAAAAGGGTGTCTGGGTTGTCAAGTGTGGTTGTACGAAGAGTATAGGCGTGTACTTGTTTGAGCTGAGAAATGGAAGTGCATTGTGTCAAGATTTGGAGGATATGGCGTCTATGCTCACTAGTAGTGTTGATGGGAAGAGTTGTTGGCCTTGGTGTAGTTGCGAGAATCATCTTCTTCGCAGGCTACTCTCCACAAGTAAAAATATATCCAAAATATAAACAGATACACAAGTAAACTTTTTTGTATCAGATTTTTCTTAACCATATGGTGTCTTGAAATTCACTGGTCCGACATATTCGAATTTGTGCCTTAAAAAGCTTTATGACTATTTTTTTTACACTTTTTATCAATCCAAGACAATCTTTGGTTAAGAGTAAAATAAAAATTCTATTTCTTTTAGCGCCTTGTAAAATATCAAGTTTCAGTACATCAGATATCATAGTATAGAATTAGTATGTACAAACAAGAATCAAAAGATAAAGGCAGAATATATAATAAGAAATCTTCTTTATTTTTATGCGATGGTATTTATCTGCACATGGAATCGGAGAAAATAAAAAAACTCCTTTATATATAAGTTAAATTTATGCAAAGTTATTACCAGAGATGTGGTGGGAGTGATGACTTACCCTTTTAATTAAAAAATTCGAATTCGAACCTGGAAAAAGTTACGAATCCAATGCATGGATGCCTAAGATTACATCCATCCAATGCATATGTTATAAATACTGCTATACAATTTGAATACATGACGAAATACTGTTATTTAAATCCTGTCCAAAATATTAAGCATTACTGCGATTTACAGAATGTATTTTACTTAAGTTTGACCCTTGTAGCATAAGCCAACCTTTTCGCTGTCAGGTAATTTGAAATTTGAAGTTATCCAATTTTAATTACTTCTCCCCTTTCAAAAGAAGAATTGTAACATTACTTTCTGGAGAGCCAAATAGTCACTTGATTACAACTTTTTGATATGCATTTAAATATTTTTAACTGTAAATATTTTGATTTATGATACTTTTTAGGTAATTTTATTTAAAAAATTAAATAAATTGAGATGCAAATTCACAACAAATAGTTATTACATTACGTTCTTTCAAATTCACGTGGTCTCTTTTCCTCACGTGATTCGACTCTTTCTCTCTTTTATCCACCCATTCATCACTAACATCCCAAGGGGCGTGTTTCACTTTAGTAGCTGAAAAGATTAGGAATGATGTATGAATCTCTTAATAGTGTGAGACCTTTTGTGAAAAACCATACGGGCTTGCCCCAAAACGGAAAGTATCACATCGTGTAAGAGTATCTTTGGTATGGTTGAACCCAATATGTTGTAATGGGATGTTAGCGACGACCCTTAACAAGATGCCTCAAGTTGGAACCCTAGGAACGAAAAACTTCTGGATAGGAAGCGCTTTATCCCCATAATAGGCCTATCCAGTATCCTGTATAAATTTGATTTAGCCGAACCAATGTGCTACAGATATTGGATAGTTAAGAAAATAGATAAACAGAACTCCAAGTGAATACCTTTTTACTAAATAAGATCAGATGGTCTCTTACACCTTGAATCCTGTCTTAATTATTTTGTTTCTAATTACACGTTCAAAAGTAGGATCTTTCATTCTGGCACTTTGCACATCCACATTCTGCAGGAGGACAACTCGCAGCACAGTCATTTTCAGTGTTGCAAGTAATTATCTTTGGTGTTGGAATGCACGTGCTTTGGGTGTACAAAGAAAACCGACAAACCGTACCAAACAGGTATTTTGAGTCAAGCCGAGAAAAAAAAATCGATTATGGTTCGATTTGATTTGGTTTGGTGTTGGAAAAAAAAACCCGACCATAATTGATTTGGTTTGGTTTTAACTAAAAAAAGTCAAATCGAAACCAAACTAACCCGACATTACATATATAGATATTTTAGATATATTTAATACATAAATATACTTAATTGTGATGTAATTTATAAATATTTCTTAAATTTTTTCATAATTTTATCTTTTAAGATATTATTTCAAGGTTGGACTTAGAACTTTTGAATGTTCCAGTAAGTTTCATAACCATTAATATTAATAACTCAAATAATGCTAACAAAAGCCCAAACCAAAATCAAACCAATACTAATGCTAACAAAAGACATTCAATTCAATACTAGGAATGACAATG